CACTTTGGAAGGCTAGTTGAAAGGAATCAAAACCATGGACCATTAATGTTCTGTCCGACTCTTGTTACATGTCTCCAAATAATCAAATCCATAAATAATATTGACCACAAAAAGAATTAGTTCTGGAAAAAATATGGCAGAGTTAACATTTTTAATTAGTGTACATGTTACCAAATTGAAACTAATAGAGTCGATATTGACAAAATTTTGATTCAAACAAATTCGGTTTTCAGTTGAAATCATAATAAAAATAATTTAAATAGAGAATAATAGTTTTGGATAATAGTTTGGTTCTTGACAAAAAAAGACAATAGTTTCGACAGGTAATAATTTGGTTTTGAGTCGTGTATTCGGTTTTGTTCATAAAAGAAGATATGGGCTTTATACTTATGTAATTAGGGCCTTTTACAGACCCATTGTACACCCAAATTCGGGAATCGGTGAATAAAACCCACTGAAGTCTCTCCAGACCAACGGTAAAGACCAGAGAAGGCGATAGTCTTAGAACATCATTAACACAGAGACGAGCTGCGTTTTTAACAGAAATTAAAATAATAAAAATTGAGACCACGTCTCTTATTTAGGAAAAACGTTTCTTATTTCGCTACTTTTGGGAATGTTTCTTCCCACGCGTGGCAGGCTTTCATATGCCAAAGGATTTGGGAGAAAATTTTTTTTTAATGTTTTTTTTGTTTTTCGTTCTTCCGTGACTCTGATGATCGTCTCCAACCCAACTGTCAGAATCTTCGTCGATTTGATCGATTCTTCTCGTCTCTCTCTCCCCGATGGAGTTACACCATTGATTTCACCTCACAAGGTATCTAACTTATCAGTTATTTAATCAGAATCTAGTTTTATGGATCTCAGTTGATCGATCTCTTGGCTTTTCTCGATCAAGCTTTGTTATCATCGTTTACATGTGATTGGTCTTTTCTGTGGGATTTCTTTGATTACTTTTGCACAAATTGAGATTAGGGTTTATTTCTTTGAATTCGAAACAGCTCTAGCTTAAAAACCAAACCCCCTTTTGGTGTTTCAAGTTGGAAATGCTGCTGATTTTGTTCCGTTTGTTGGATTCTTATGCTCCTGAACAGGTTATTTTGATAGGGATCGAATCTTCTGATCATGGTTAGTGCTCCTAATACTTGTTTACTTCAAAGTTTCCATCTTTGCTTTGTCAAGCTGCAAAGAGCTACTCACCGAGAAGTTAGAATCGTGAAGCTCTTTGTGGACATATTCATGGAGGATCTGTCTTCTTTGGGACAACAGCTTGTGGACACATGAACAGAGTCTGGGTAAGAATTGCAGTACATATTACTTACTACATGCGAAATGCAGCTCGAACCCTCATCCTTTTTGGCTCGTGTTTAAGACGGCGTGAGAAGGACCTGTAAGAGAGGAGAAATTGATGAAGCAAATTGATTAATACGAAAGCAAAACTGGATGCAAAGAGTCACGAGAAGATTCTAGTTGTTAGTTCCATTATCTATAAAAGATGTTGATGATTCACCTTCATTGCAGCTTTAAAAGCTATTTCAAACATACTTGTACAACATACACAAAACAGCTTGATGGGAAAAATTTGGATTAAAACATATAAGAAATTTTTTTTTAGAAACCCATATGAGTCTCTGCATTGGACCTTATAAATTCTAACCTCTCTTAACTAAGTTTTTAATCCAATAATAATATTTAAAAAATCAATAAGACACCATATGAGTCTTTGCATTGAGGATGTCCTTATATTGTAGTCCGTGTCTTTAACAAGTCACCTTATAACATCACCATCCATTGGTAATATAATATCCGCATACTAGTTTACAAATTAATGTAGAATGCATTTAGGTATTAAAAATAACTAACTAAAATATTGAAAAATATCTCAAAATTAGTAAATTAATTATCCTATAAATTGTATATTTTTGAATAATATTTGGCATCTTAATTCTAAAACACTTAACCACATTCTAGCTACTAATATAAATTAACTTAACCACATTTTATACCTTGAGCCTTAAGCTCTAATTCTAGCCCTAGCCCTAACCCTAGCCCTAACCCTAAGCCCTAACCCTAAATCTATATCGTTCAATTTTTGTATATTTTTTTAATGTTATTTGGTAAATTAATAAGCACTATATATTCATTATTAAATTAGTTGGACAAGTACAAGTAAAATTCTAAACCTCTGCAATCTAGTTACTATCTGTATATAATATATTTTATGTATTAAATCAGAATAACTAAAATTATCAAAAATAACTCAAAATCAGTGAACTACCCCTATAAAAATTCAATCTTATAAATAAATACAGTAAAGATAAAAAAAAAATCCTCTTTTTATTTCTAAAAGACTATATTAAAAAAACTATATTAATATTAAAAAACTAGTTTTAAATATTATTTGGTAATTATATTATTTTTATTGATTAAGTTTAAAAAAACTCTATATACATAATGGATAATCTGAATAGGAATCCGGGTTTCAACATACTAAATCCTAAATCCCAAATTTATGTAGAATGCATTTATGTATTAGAAATAGCTAACTAAAATATTTAAAAATATCTCAAAATTAGTGAATTACTCTCTATGAAAATTTGTATATTTTTGAATAAGATTTTACATCTTAATTCTAAAACACTTAACCATATTCTAGCTCTAAATTAATATAAATGAACATTCCATATCTTAAGCTCTAAGCCCTAACCCTAGCCATAGCCCTAAACCCTAACCCTAACCCTAAATCGTAAACCATTAAATTTGTATATTTTTGAATTTTATTTGGTAAATTAATTACTTTTAACCCGTAATTTTTAAAGCATTCTCATTACATAACATATCTAAACCCGTAATTTTTGGATAATTAAGTACAAGTACAAACCTAAACCTCTACGATCTAATTACTATCAATATAAGATGTATGTATTTATGTATTAAATCAAGATAACTAAAATTTTCAAAAATACCTCAAAATCAATGAACTAACCCCCCTATAAAAATTAAATTTTATAAATAAATACAGTAACTAAAAAAAAAATTCTCCTCATTTTATTTCTAAAAGACATAACATCATTCTAACACTATATTAAAATTAAATAAACTAGTTTCGAATATTATTTGGTAATTATATTATGTTTTACCAATTTTTTTTTAAAAAACTCTATATACATCATGGCTAATCAGTTGTACTGATTATCAAAGACAAATAGGAATCCAAACTAATGCATTTATGTATTAGAAATTGCTGACTAAAATATTTAAAAATATCTCAAAACTAGTGAATTAATATCTATGGAAAAATTGAATATATTTTTAATAATATTTGACATCTTAATTATAATATACTTAACCACACTCTAGCTCTAAATTAATATAAAACTAACTTAACCATATTTTATACCTTAAGTTCTAAGCCCTAACCCTAGCCTTAAACCCTAACCCTAAGACCTAACCCTAACCCTAAGACATAAGACATAAACCCAAATTTATGTAGAATGCATTTATTAGAAATAGCTAACTAAAATATTTAAAAATATCTCAAAACTAGTGAATTATTCTCTACGAAAAAATTGTATATTTTTTTTTATTATTCTCTACGAAAAAATTGTATATTTTTTTAATAATATTGGACATCTTAATTCTAAAACACTTAACCACATTCTAGCTTTAAATTAATATAAAACTAACTTAACCACATTATATATACCTTAAGTTCTAAGCCAGCCTAGCCTTTAACCCTAACCCTAAGACCTAACCCTAACCTAAACCATAGATCGTTAAATTTGTATATATTTTTAATGTTATTTGGTAAATTAATTACTTTTTAACCTGTAATTTTAAAACACTATATATTTCTCATTAATTAGTTGGATAATTTTTATGAGATCTATAATTTTTGGACAATTAAGTACAAGTAGAAACCTAAACTTATGCGATCTAGTTACTATTCATATAGGATGTATGTATTTATGTATTAAATCAGGATAACTAAAATTTTCAAAAATACCTCAAAATCAGTGAATTAACCACCTATAAAAATTCAATTTTATAAATAAATACAGACTCCTCATTTTCCTCATTTTATTTCTAAAAGAAAACATGAACTAACTAAAAAAAAACATTCTCCTCATTTTATTTCTAAACGACATAACATCATTCTAACACTATATTAATATTAAATAAACTAGTTTTGAATATTATTTGGTAATTATATTATATTTTATCAATTTTTTTTTAAACTCTATATACATCATGGCTAATCCGTTGTATTGATTATCAAAAACAAATAGGAATCCGAACCTCCACACACTAGTTCCCAAATTTATTTAGAATGCATTTATGTATAAGAAATAGCTAATTAAAATATTTAAAAATATCTCAAAACTAGTGAATTAATCTCTATGGAAAAATTGTATATATTTTTAATAATATTGACATCTTAATTATAATATACTTAACCACACTCTAGCTCTAAATTAATATAAAACTAACTTAACCACATTTTATACCTTAAGTTCTAAGCCCTAACCCTAGCCTTAAACCCTAACCCTAAGACCTAACCCTAACCCTAAGACCTAAGACATAAACCCAAATTTATGTAGAATGCATTTATTAGAAATAGCTAACTAAAATATTTAAAAATATATCAAAACTAGTGAATTAGTCCCTATGAAAAAATTGTATTTTTTTTTATAATATTTGACATCTTAATTCTAAAACACTTAACCACATTCTAGCTTTAAATTAATATAAAACTAATTTAACCACATTATATACCTTAAGTTCTAAGCCAGCCCTAGCCTTTAACCCTAACCCTAAGACCTAACCCTAACCTAAACCATAGATCGTTAAATTTGTATATATTTTGAATGTTATTTGGTAAATTAATTAGTTTTTAACCCGTAATTTTAAAACACTATATATATATCTCATTAATTAGTTGAATAACTTTTATGAGATCTATACTTTTTGGACAATTAAGTACCAGTAGAAACCTAAACTTATGCGATCTAGTTACTATTCATATAGGATGTTTGTATTTATGTATTAAATCAGGATAACTAAAATTTTCAAAAATACCTCAAAATCAGTGAACTAACCACCTATAAAAATTCAATTTTATAAATAAATGCAGTAACTAAAAAATCTAATCTCCTCATTTTATTTCTAAAATACTTAATGTCATTCTAACACTAGATTAATACTAAACTAGTTTCGAATGCTATTTTGTAATTTTATTATTTTTATCTATTAATTTTAAAAAACTCTATATACAACATGGCTTACCCAGATTTGAATGGATTATCAAACACAAATAGAAATCTGAACCCCTGCATATTAGTTTCCAAATTTATGTAATATAAATAGATATCTCTATATATGTATGTATTAGACCAAGTTAACAAAAAATTTAAAAGTATTTAAAAATTAGTGAGCTATGAAAAATTTAAAATTTTGTAATAAATACTGTAAATAAATAAAAAATTCATCACTCTGTTTCTAAAGTACCTCATTACATTCCACCTATAGATTAATATAAGCTAACTTAACCACATTCCATACTTTAAACCCTAAACCCTACTCATAACCCTAAGCTCTAACACTAAATTCTAAATCCTTAAATTTGTATATTTTTGAATAATATTTGGCATCTTAATTCTAAAATACTTAACTACATTTCATACTTTAAGCCCTAACCCTAAGCTTTAACCCTTAAACTTAAATCTTAAAATTTGTATATTTTTGAATGTTATTTGGTAAATTAATTACTTTTTAACTTGTAATTTAAAGCACTTTATATTCCTCATTAATTAATTGGATAACTTTTATGAGATCTAAACTTTTTAGATAATATTGCGGTTTAGTTTCTATCTATATAAAATATATTTATGTATTAAAACAGGATAGCTAAAATTTTCAAAGGTACCATAAAATTCAATTTTATGAATAAATATAGTAACTAGAAAAAACTAATTTTTCTCATTTTATTTCTAAAAGACCTAACATCATTCTTATACTAGATTAATATTAACTAAACTAGTTTTAAATGTTATTTTGCAACTTTATTATCCTTTATCAATTTTTTTTTTTTAAAAACTCTATATATGTCATGGCTAATTTTCATTTGCATGAATTATTAAAGACAAATAAAAATCTGAACCTCCGCATACTAATTGCCAAATTTATGTAAAATTTATTTATGTACTAAAACAAGCTAACTAAAATATTTAAAAATATCTTGAAATGAGTGAATTAATTCCTATGAAAATTTTAATATTTTTATAAATACAATAAATAAAGAAAATAATTATTATTACTCCATTTCTAAAATACTTCATTATATTTTAGCTCTAAATTAATATAAACTAATTTAATTACATTCCATACTTTAATTATAGTTATACCAATCGATGTATATTAACTCAATCTTAATATGCACAAAATTTGCTGAATATAGTTGATTAAATCAAGTCTAAAATAGATGCATACTGTAATCTATCAGTTCAGTTTTTCGGTATCAATATTATTATGTTATTTATATTAATATTATGGAAAACGACAAAACATAAGTTAACTTTGAGTTATAGACAGTTAGGGAAGTTTGAAGCCGTAAAAATACAAAAAGTATGGGAAGAAAAACAATAGAGTATGACATTAAAAATCAAAGGTGACGCGAAACATTAAAAATCAAAATTAATAGAAACGTGAAAGACAAAAAAACAGATAATGGCTTTGTGTGGTAAATATGTTAGAACCATTAATGTCAATTCACATCATGACATTAATGTTTTTTTTTTTTTTTAAAAAAGGGAACTAACGCCAAAATACATTAAATATTTTTGCCTTTAACTTTTTTTTTTGCTGTCTACAGAATTTGTTTCTTAACGTGACAACATTTTTGTGTGTTTACTGCTATTTATGCTGTTGCAATTAAATGTGCTACTGCAATTAGACAAATAATTACTACTATTAATAATTCTCTTAGTACTAAGGCCAACAAGAACAAATATATCTTAGTATTAAAATAAAAGCACCGCTTCCACCTCTGTATCTTCTTCTGCATCTATCCTTGTGTTTTTCTCTCTTATAAAAATTCATTTTTTTGTTCTTCTTTTGCTCAGCCTCGTTTCTGTCAATGGTGATCAAATACATCGATGAGAAGATACTGTTAATGGAGGTAGAGAATTCGGGACACGTGTAAAGTAATGGAGGAGCATTAAAGTGTAACCAATGAATGAGCTTTGAGCTGTTTGAGATGCTTCCTCTCTGTATGCAGAGTGAGAAAGAGAGCAATAACTATGATATCTCGATTTTAACCCATTACTCCACATTCAAGACACTGAGTGAGATCCACATGCCCCCATTATATTTTTCATCCAACATCTTTTCTTTCTTCTACATTTGATCTCTCTCTCTCTCTCTCTCTCTTTGGAAAAGAAGAAACTTTCTTCATTACATTGTTCCTCCTCGATCTATGAAGAAGATGAAGAAACCACGATTTGTCCTCCTTTTGGTTGTGTTTATAGTCCTCTGCGTCTCACTTGTTTCTTCTGGTAATCAATCCATCTTCTCTTTCAACTTCTTTGTTCTTACTCTGTTTCACTGTTTTTTAATTAGTAGATTCATTCACATATCGAAAAATGGCAGAAATGAATTTGGGTTTGGAGGATTACAATTTTCCGGTGGATCCATCTCCGACTACAAAAGCTTCGATCAAACCAGGTCCTATTGAGCATGGAAACCCTCTCAATCCTTATATTCCTAAGCCTCCTTCTTCTTCTCCTCCTCCACAAGGTCCTCAAGACGGTGGATAAAATCATTTATTTATATATATATATTAATTAAATAAACTTTTCGTGATCTCCGTACTGTTTGTATCTAATGTTTCCACGTTTTTTTTTCTTTTTCAAATTCTCTGTTTCAGTAACTCGTTCTACTAACTTTGTTGTTTTCTACTTTGCTATGTTTTAATTAGTTTCCTTTTTCTGCATTTGTTTTCTAATGGACTTATCGGTGTTTGAAGTGATAATGGATTTGAGTCGTATGATTGACAATATTTATATTATTCGTGGGCCTAAGTAAGACTCAAGTATATTATTCGTGGGCCTTATATCTAATTAATAGAGTATGGTCTTCACGTGACCCAACTAAACCAACCAACTATTTACAGGTCCGCAACGGTCCGTTAACAGTAACGATAATGGTAACGGCTATCTAATAATATCCTCTGTCAAAGGTAACTTCGAAAAAGAAAAAATCCATTTCATGATGTGGTTTCAATTTTTTTTCTTTTAATTTATTAAAATTGAATCAAAATCAAACTATTTGTAGCTAGCTTGGTTTCAGCTCGATATAATATCAGCTGGATCAATTTTATTTTAGTTAAATAATTTATTAAAAATACAAAAAATAATATTTCATTACCAGTTTTTAAATGTAATATAATCATATTATTTCACGACAAAAAAAATATAACCATATTATTTCAAACATATATCAAAATATGGAATTATTTGGCTGGTTTGGTTCGGCTACACTAAATCAGTTTCAAACCAAATGATTTTAAACAGATTTTGGTCGGTTTTTGCTTAACAATTTTCTTTGGCTCAGTTTTTTTTAATGGTTTTTTGTCACAACGACTCAAATATTTTATTTTCCTAATTAATAAAAAAAAACATGAAAGATGTGAGTGGTGGGGTGAAAGAGAAGAATGAGGAGAGAGAGCGAGAGAGACAGAGCCAAAGGCGGTGGTCCCAAAGCTCAGCCGCACTACGACACTTAGTTTTATCACGTGTCTCCCACGCGCGTGATGTAATATTCACCGTCGATGATATTGACTTTCGATACTTCGATGACTCAAATCAACGGTCAGAGAAAGCTGAAAACACGAAAACACATGCCCGTAAAACCACAGATAAAACGAGGATACTTAGCGTGCGGATTAGTAAACAATCGAGTCTTATCAGCTTAAAGCCTGTATAATGTTTTTTTTTTTCCCTCTATAAACAATGACATAAATAAAAATAAAGCTGTAATTCGTAATTAAATGATTCATCACTTTGGTCCACAGACAGAACATAAACATAGTCCCTCAGATTTTCCGACCCTTAATGTTTTTTTTTTCCTCTCTTAATTATATTGTTTTTTAATCTCTTGATCCAAGAGTTCACGTTTACTTGTGACAGAAGTCTTGTAATGATAATATAGCAAAGTCCCGTCTTCACTCTCTCTCTCTCTCTCTAAAATAAAAAAATGTCATCTTTCGAAATCTCTCACATTGATTTAGAAAATGGTTACGGCGAGCGACATTACCGCCGGAGTGACGTCAGCGAGATCGGAGAAGACAGCTCTTCTTGTGACTACGACTACGATTTTCACTCAGCTGTACGAAGCTTTTGCGGCGAGTTTGAGATTCCTGACTTGGAAGACGGCTCAGAATCAGAATCGGAACACTCCCTTGGATCGATCGGAGGGTCACCGGAGAAAGATTGCCGGATTTGTCATTTGGGTTTAGAGAGCAGCCGACATGAATGTGGAGATCCAATGGTTCTTGGATGTTCCTGTAAAGATGATTTGGGTTATGTTCATAAGCAATGTGCCGAGACTTGGTTCAAAATCAAGGGTAACAAGTAAGCAAAATTAAACCAACCAATCATTCTTTTGATCTCAATAGGAAGCAATGTTGAATTTATTAAGTGCATGATTTCAGGACTTGCGAGATTTGTCGCTCCATAGCTCAAAACTTCTCTAAAGTTGCCAACGAGATTGATCAAACAACGATTGAAACCAATGTGGATGACGTGGAGGCCGGAAATTCGTCCACGGTGGTGGCTACAAGCGATTCCGATGACCGGAGATTCTGGAGGGGAAACAGATTCCTTAACTTCCTATTAACATGTATGGTCTCTGCATTTGTAATCTCATGGTTCTTCCACTTTAACTTGTCTTCACAACAATGAGAAAGAAGATTAACATCCTCTGTTTTTCCTTCTTTTTCTTTTCTCAAATCTGGTTTTTTTTTGCTTTGTGTGGAGTTTGATTCCTGTTTTTAGCTTTTTGCACGAGTGCAATCATCATATCAAACAATTGGAATACAAAAATAAAAGATTCATAATTGATCAGTTACAGAGTATAAATAAATAAATAAATAAAATGGCACACAAAATTCTGAATGAGTACATGTTTTTGTGTGTGTGTATTCACAATTTTTGGAAATAAGAAGTTTCACAAACTCTAATTAATTATTAAGCCTCAAGAGCGGAACCATGTCTAAGAGCTTCTTTAGCTTCAGCTTCCATCTCGAGCTTGAAGAGACAAGCGGCTTGTAAGTAAAGAGCGGTTGGCCATTCCGGGGAAGCTACTTGCGCTTGCATCGCGTCGCTCAGAGCCTCGCTGAACATTTCACTCATAAGGTAACATAGACACCTTCTTGCCAATACTGTTGGTGACACCGTAGGAGCTCCACTCAAGAACTGCACAAGAATATGAAGAATGAATCAAGTCTTTCTTTTTTAGTGTGTCTCTACTTCTTGATGATTTAAATGTTTTGTCTGAATTAAAGTTGCGGAATGTGCCAGTGACAGCTACCTCTGTGTAGAATTCAATGGCGGTTTCAAAATCTTTAGATCGAAATGCGGCATCTCCATGCATCTTGTAGTCCATATTCTCTTGCATTTCGTCCGTCCACATTTGGAACGAAAACTGGCATATATTCATGAGAGAATCAACAACATCCACTCTCAAATTTCTCAAATTTAGATAGTAATGATCATCATGTCCTTAGATATCAAAAACCATTAACATACCTCGTTTGCGACCCCATCGTCTTCTCCATACCCGAGTTTCTCGAGTAGTTCGTGCATGGTACATAGATCTGCTCTCAAACATGCATCTCCAAAAGGAGTCAACTTTAGTGGCTCTGTTGCAGGTTTAGTCTTTTCAGGCGGATTGGATGCTGGAGGCTGTCCATTAATATGATTTTTTCTTTTAGTCACATTAAGTAAAAAGCGATAATTCTTGAACGAAAACTTACAGGCGTGAGCCTTTTGACATTGATAGGCCATAACTCGGCTCGTTTCTGAAGTCTAGAAAGAGTCGCCATGAGAGACTTTATCCTTGGCCTCTCTTCGGGTTCAGACTTTAAACAACGAGAGGCTATGTGCATTAGTTCAGTCCTGTCCTCATCAGAGAACTGACCATCCAAAGCTGAATCCATTAGTACCAAATAGTTTTTGCCGCGGAACAAATCAAGTGCCTGCACAAATATCACAGCATATTAATATATAAAAAATGCCCAAGTCCTACCTAGAGAATGTTACAAATGCAAAGACGTTTGGTACATGGTTTGGAGGGATATGTCTGCCACTCATAAGATCCAACAATAAGGTCCCAAAGCTAAATGTAACGCTCTCCGGTATCAGAGTACCTGAAAAAAGGTTATTGGTAGAAACAAGTTTGTATGAGAATTTGAGCTATTTTTATCTTATTGACACACACAAATGATATGTACCTAGGCGCAAATATTCAGGAGGAGCAAATGCTAAGTTGGTACTATGATTCTTCCCTTGGTGGCTATTCTTCAAGAGACCAAAGCAAGAAAGCTTAGGATTCCCCATCTGTCATTTCAAAGCACTTTGAGACGTGAGAATCAAGATTTGGCATGAAAACCAAAAAGACAAAAAAAAAGTTTGGCATTAACCTTATCAAACAATATCCGGTAAGGATTAAGATCATGGTATAAGTCTATTCCCTTATCTTTACAAAACTCTAAAGCTCTTGCGGTCTGCAACGCAACCTTTAACCTCATTTCCCATTTCATCGGTCTTTTCTCCCCTGATAACACATTACACTCTTCTTCAAAAAAACGAAACTTTGAGAAAACAAATCATCACATCAGTGAGAAAAGGAGAAGAAAGAGATGTTATTACAGTGAAAGAGATGCTTTGCTAAAGTTCCATTAGGCATATACTCGGCGACAAGAAGTCTCTCGTTGTCTTCAGAACAACAACCAATCATATTCGCCATATGCTCACTCCTCAATCTCCCCACTGCTTGTGCTTCCTTCTGAAATTTTAAGAAGACCAAACCAAATTTGACCAAAAATTCAAAACCGAAATTCTCAATTTTTTAAGGGTGAACAAAAAGACCAACGGTGAATTCCAAAGGATCAGGCCATGAAAGTCTCTGAAACCGTTTGACGGCGATTCGACGACCATCGCCGAGTCTGCCTTTGTAGACGATGTTTGGTACCCAATCGTTGTGCTCCGATACGATGTTTCCTCCGGAGAATCCGTCGGTGGCGATTCTCAGCTCCTCCAAGCTTAACTCCCGGAAAATCAGCGGATAATGTCCCTCGTCGTCGCCATCGTCTCTATCGTTTTCGAGATCATCGATGGCCGTTGATTTAATCGACGGTGGAGATTGTCGCCGCCAAGACTTGAAGCAAATGCATCCCATCTCCGCCGGCCAAAACTGTTCCTCCACAAGTCCGGCTAAGACTCCCGCCTCCAGATAATTCTTTTCTGCTTTTTTTTATTTTACGTTTTTGAAACAAATTCAAATCAACAGCATTTATTTATAATGGTAAGAAAATTAGCATAATATCCTACATAAGTAAGTAGATTTAATAACGGCAAAAAATGTCAAACGAACCTATTGTAATATCATAAAATAAGCATATCTACTGGTTTTGGTCATGAATCATGCTTTCCTAACTATATATTAAAATCTACGGATACTTTTATTAGTAAGTTAACAGTAGTTTAGGAGTAAATATCGTAATTATCAATTTTTGTATTTTTAGGGTTAATTAAATTATTATTACTGGCAATAGATATTTGAATTGAATCAATGACCAAAAATATATATATATATATATATATATATATGTGGTTAATGGGACGCTCGTTTAGAGAAGTATTAAAGAAGACTAATACCAAACGGTCCAAACCGGATTTTATTAGTTTTATTTTTATATATAGTTTTTTTGGAATCTTTTAATATTAAAATGAAATCAAATTGGAAAAAAAAAAAGAAGGAATTACTTAAATGGGCTAGTTAGATCAATAAGGTTTGCAAAATTTCTTCGTATCTAAATGGCCTAGAGTTGACATGAATCAGCCCAGATAATAATCAACTTTATCCTTTGGCCCAATACTCTTCAACCAAAAATCTCTTGCTTATCACTGCATTTTGAGTAGTGGAGTAATACAAATATCAAAGGAACCTGGCAAAGAAAAAACAAATTGACCAAAAAGAAAGAAACAACATTGATAATTTCAGATGAAGCAGAATAAATAAATCAGAAACTGTAATAAGAAATCTTTAAATTTCCTCAACTTTTCTCACTAGATAATCGTTTTTTTAAGGATTGTAGCAAAACAAAATGAGAAATAGGAAGACTATTGGATACAAATATGTATTAAGCATGGACTTCTCATTTGTGTGTCTATTTCCTCTGAACAAATGTACGAAAAGAGAGCATCCATTTATCATCTTTATTGGATTTTTAAATATATAAGAGTCGATCTATGCGAATAATTAATTAGATAAAGAGTTTCGGTGAATCACGAATCAGTTTAATATTGGTCACTATAGGTGAAGTATGATTGAGAGAAACGTATGAGGGAAAGTGAAGATTAAAGTTTTTTTTTTTTAAAAAAAAGTGAAGATTAAAGATCTGATTTATCTATAGGTTAGTAAACAAGAATTTTTTTTTATAAAGGATTCTCTAATTTTAGAGGTGATTTTCTAAAAGTTCATTGACATTAATTTAGTGGGTGAGTGGTTGGGATTGTAACTCCTTTTCAAAGATCTAATTTTCTCTAAAACATCAAATTTCTTTCCGAAATTCTATAGCTCTTAGCGTCAACTATTATATATATATATATATTAGTATACGCTAGTAGGTGTAATTCGATATCAGTGGCAATTTTAATATATTTAGTCAATACGTTGTTTGCAATTGGGTCGTCAACATCTGGCCTTTGGATTTCCTTTGATATATATTACGTATAAGTGAAAACAATCACACACAAATAAAAAAAGAAGAATGATGTTTCACATGGCAAAGTCGCGTATAGACGTGAGTATATGCCCTCTCGAGAAGGTTTTTATATGAAATAATATATATATATATATTTTTTGTCGTTATATATATATATATATATACACATGGCAAAGTCGCATAAACGTGTGTATATGCCCTTTGGAGAAGGTTTTTATATTAAACAAAGAAGTTCTTTGTGGACAGAAAGGTAGCTTGCTATTAAAGAGCCGAAGCTTTTAGACAGCTAATGTTATGGGGAAAGCTTACTGTACATCGTTTTTGAGATTGGCATTTCTCACTCATTGATAAACTCAATATTATTATATAATAACGTTGAAAAAACGTATCCGTCGTTTTTTTGGGTAACGAAGGCGTTTTCATATCCTTACATCAACAATGCCTCTCGCAATCCAAGCCATCTTCGTCGCTCTTCTCTTCTCTTCCATTGCTTCAGCAGCTATCGTCGAACATGTTTTCCACGTATTTATTATTATCCCACTCTCTCCTAATTATGTTTTTTTTTCTCTATAAAGTAATGAAATTCAACCAAAAAAAAATCTACCAGTTATTTTACTGCACATATTATATCATATTTCAATTTATTTCAATTTTGGGGCTTAAAGCGCTATAAAAACCTTGATTTACATTTATTATTAAAAAATGTGAATTTCTTTTCATAAAAGCAATTCGGTATAGTAGAAAAAAACTTTTACTATTCTGATGTAATATATCAGAAGTAAAGTAATATATAATTTCAAATGAGTGAAGAAAATTATGTGACAAACCAATATCGTTAACGTAAAACAATAGTGGTTTTCAAATCTGAAATCCTATAGTAAACTAGGACATTATTCAGATTAACCCAACTAAATTTCTTACAAACTATTACCAAAAATAACCAAAATAAGTAAGCATATAATCATATATCCCATTATTTAACCATTCGTAGAAATATGAAAAGTTGGGACTCCAAAATTAAAACTGTGAAATGGGGCCTGGAGGCACTTGCATCTTTTTAAATATATTAAACACGGCGTCTTTTCCTATAAACAGGAAAAGGTGATACGTATGCATGTGCTTGATTGTATTTTCCTCCATTTAATTTTTTACCTTATTTGGTGGATCTAATCTAACTGCCCCAAGCTTATAGTATTGTATTAATATTGTCGTATATGATTTGGTATTGACTGTTGCTTATGCATTCACGCTTTTCTGTTGGGAAAAAAGTTGTTTGCATTTTTCATTGTTTTTTTTTAACAAAGTTTTTCTAATTACAAATGCAAACGAAATTACAAACGCGCAAACTCTTTAATAAATATGACGGGGCCATCTTAATGGCGTCAACAACAGGTAAAAAACGTTTTGGTGAAACCGCTGTGTAAGAGCATGAACATTGAAGGTCCTTAAGAATTTTGAGGTGGGTAGCTAAAGAATATTATTGGATAAAATAATGAAAGTGAAGTCCATAAAAAGAAGGGTCGGCCCTTCTCCAAGGTTTTTATGGGTCGACCCATGTTGAAACCCTTTAGCGACGTGTCGCATTTCTATTGGAGGTAGAATTTTTTTTTTTAAAAAAAATATTAATTTTTTTAAAAAAATTAAAAAAATTAAAAATTAAACACTTGATAGAAAAAAATTAAAAATTAAGTTAATAAATTTTTTAAAAAAATATTAATTTTTTATTACTAAGCAATTCTTACCCAATCCACTAATAAAACACTTGATGATAAAAATTGCTTAATTATCCTTAAAGTAAAAAAAAGTATTATATTAATGTTAAACAACTTTCTCTAAACCCCTCTAATGCACATGCTCTAAGGAGCAAATGATACCAGCCGTTAATGGAAGTCTTCCCGGTCCAACGATAAACGTTAGAGAAGGCGACACTCTTGTGGTTAATGTTATCAACAACTCAACTTACAATATAACTATCCACTGGTAATTAACTAGCCAATTGATTTCGATATTATAATTTCATCAAATAATGATATATATTTTGTTTTGTGTGTTCGATAAAAAATATTTGTTTATAGGCACGGAGTGTTTCAGTTGAAGAGCTCATGGATGGACGGAGCGAATATGATAACTCAATGTCCGATTCAACCAAGTAATAACTTCACGTATCGATTTGATATCACCGGACAAGAAGGTACATTGTTATGGCACGCGCATGTTGTTAATCTGCGAGCCACTCTTCATGGGGCTCTCATCATCCGTCCTCGATCTGGACGTCCTTACCCTTTTCCTAAACCCTATAAGGAAGTTCCTCTTATTTTTGGTAAGCATTTCTTCTATTTTTTATTTAAGCCGAAATCAAGAACAAAATCGGATTTTTTTTTTCTGTTTGTTAACATTGACTATTCACCGTGTATTATTAGATTGGTCATTTAATGCGTATAATAAGTATGCTTTATATTTGTTGTGAATGAATGGACACTTTTTCAGCTGTATTAATTAGCTAAAAGTAGTTGAAATACTATAGTTTTTAATCCAAGTCCTCTTCATTGGTAAATTTTAAGCAGAAACAAAGTAACATAATCTTTATTTCACTCCTAAAAGGGGTTATCCATTCGCTTGATAAATATTTACGTTTGGAGGATTTTCATTATTCCATATCTATTATAACAGAAGCATGTTTAGTACTTGCTTCCAAACACTCCTAATTTTTTTTAAGTATTTAAAAATAATTTTAATAATTATTTATATTTAATTTCGAAAATTAGTTATTAATTTAAATATTTTTAGAGTTCCTTAAATATAGATAATTTAGATTTGATTTGATTTGATTAAAAATAATATATCAGATATTAATTTAGATTTGATTTAAAGATTCTAATTTAAATAATTTCTATACTATTAAACATTTTTATCAAAAATATCTAGAATTTTTGAAAACAAAATAATTCACATATGAAAAATAATGGTCATATTTGAAATATAAAATATTTATAATGATGTAAATGATATGATATTTATGTTGTTTATGTAATATATTTACGATTATGATTTATTTACAAATTAATAATAAAATAATAGGTAAAATTCAAATGTTTATTAAAAATATATTTTTTAAAATTCAGAGAACTAAAAATATATACAAAAATCGGGTTAAAAATATTTTGTTAACTAAAATCACTAATTTTGAATTATACATGTATATCGAAAATATATTTTTTATACAAAATTAAAACATAAAAAATTAAAAATTATTGCATACACTATAATGTGGTTTGAAAAACCAGTTGTACACTCCTTTCGTTGATTAAATTTTAGAAAACTATAATGCTAAATAATACTGTTAATACATCTCAAACTTTTAACAAATATTTATATTATACGGTATATGAACGGAAAAGTTAGAATTATGTTTTTATAATAGTTCATTTTGAATTAATATTAGTGGAAGGGTTAAAATTATATTTTTATAATCATAATTAATTTTAATACTATAAAAATATATTTAAACACAAAAATCAATATTTTCACTTATTAAAAATATATTTATAAAAATAATTATATCTAAACTCAAAAACACAAATTATATTATAAAATTCGTTAAACAATAAAAAATATTTCTGTGCGGATGCACGGGGTTAGAATCTAGTTATGATATTAACCAAATTGTTAATTGATTTGTTTGTTTATTACCGATGAAGCGGGCTATTAGTTTTTATCCATAGGGGGTTGATCTATTGTGATTCTAGTTTGATTTTCAGTAGAGTGAATATTATATGTCATGGCATAAGGTAAACAAAGGCTGGCCTCGGCATGAACCCTTCCTCGTTAACCAAAAAAAAATAATAATAATAATTTGTTTGAACAAAAAAAAAAATATTATGTCAGAACAATGGTGGGACACAGATATTGGACTTCTTAATTTACGGCCAGCTCCCATTTCCGATGCTTACCTCATCAATGGCCTCGCTGGAGATTCATATCCTTGCTCCAAGAACAGTAATACTCGTTCTTTTTACTTAAATCAAAAGTTAATAAAAAAATCGCTTATGATAACAAAATTAAACGATTTTCTTATATTTTGGCTTCGGTAATAGGAATGTTCAAACTCAAGGTAGTAGAAGGAAAAACATACTTGCTAAGGATCATAAATGCGGCGCTCAACACTCACCTCTTCTTCAAAATAGCCAATCATAACGTGACAGTTGTCGCTGTAGATGCTGTCTACACGACACCTTACGTCAGCGATGTGATGGTCTTGACGCCGGGACAAACCGTCGACGCACTTCTAACCGCCGATCAGCCCATCGGAATGTACTACATGTCCATAAGCCCTTACACTAGCGCCAATACCTTTATACCGGTCCCCGCCAACAATTCCATCAGAGGCTTAATCGTCTACGAAGGTGCCACGTCGACAACATCCCCGACGGTGGCGTTGATGCCTACAGGGATGGATGCAGTATCCACCGCTCATAGGTTCTCCTCGAACATCACCAGCCTCGTTGGTGGACCCCATTGGACGCCAGTGCCTCGCCACGTGGACGAGAAGATGTTCGTAACGATGGGGCTTGGTTTAGACCCATGCCCTTTGGGAACCAAGTGTATTGGTCCGTTAGGTCAACGGTACGCTGGTTCTCTCAATAACCGTACTTTTGTGATCCCGGGCACGATTTCTCTTCAAGAAGCTTATTTCTACAACATTCGTGGAGTATACACCAATGATTTTCCCGGCCAACCACCGCTCAAATTTGACTACACAAAGTTCAAAGTTCGTGATGATTCTGACTACAAAATGATGTTTCCAGAGAGAAAGACTAGCGTCAAGACACTTAGATTTAATTCAACTGTCGAGATCATTGTGCAGAACACGGCTATGATCAGCGCAGAGAGCCATCCCATGCACCTTCACGGCTTCAATTTTTATGTGTTGGGTTATGGATTTGGTAACTATGATACAATCCGAGATGCAAGAAAGCTAAATTTAGTTAATCCGCAAATGCACAATACAGTCGGTGTACCACCAGGTGGATGGGTTGTCCTCAGATTTATCGCCAATAATCCTGGTTAGAAACATTTTGCCAAAAAAATAACATATATATATATATATCGAATGGGTTAACATGAAATTTTTATGTTATATAAATGCAGGTGCATGGATGTTCCATTGTCACATGGATGCACATTTACCATACGGAATTATAATGGCTTTCATAGTTCAAAATGGGCCAACTCCGGAAACGAGCCTACCTCCTCCGCCGTCGAATCTTCCACAATGCACTCGAGATCCGACCATATATGAATCTCCAACAACAGACGTTGATCTGCCTTACTAGAATTAGCTAGGTTCGTTTTTTTTTTCTTGAAGAAAATTGGCTTTCTTTATAAGATAAAGCTAAACCAAGTTGAATTTGTGGGATGAACCACGGTAAAAATTGAACCACGGTAAAAATTTGATGGTCATAATAACATTAACTGGATCCATTGTTGTTGATAAAGGTTCATTTTTGCCCGAGTTGTGTGACGCGAGACGGATTAACCCTCACCGTTAGATGCGATGTTTGACATCATTAGGAGTTGATGATTCGTATTTTTTTTTCTTTAAATTCAGTAGTGGTTAATGGGACGCTCGTTTAGGGAAAAGTATTAAAGAAGACTAATACCAAACCAGAACTTCTTAATTTTTTATCGATATAGTTTTTCAGTCTTTTAATAATAAAATAAAATCAAAATTCTTAAAAGTGTTGAGACCTCTCTTTAGAAGTGTTCTAAATCTTTTTTACAGTTCTAATTTTTTCGAAAATATCAAATTTCTTTTCAAATTGCTATAGCTTTTTTTCTAAGTTACATCAAGTTTCTTTCCATCCTGAAATTCTTTCTGTTTTTCTATTAGCGTTAATATTTTATATACACGCTAGTAGGCGTAGTTAGACATTAGTGGATATATATATATTATATATACATAATATATATAGTATATACGCTAGTAGGTGTAGTTAGATAGTAATGGCCATTACTAAAAAAAAAAGATAGTAATGGCCATTTTTATATATTTGGTCAATTGGATGTTTACTGGGTCGTCAAAATCTGGCCTTTGGATTTCCTTTGATATAGAAATATTACAAAGGTTTCAAAACAATCACACACACACACAAAAAAAAACTGAATGATGTTTTCACATGGCAAAGTCAGCTAATGTCCTTTCGAGAAGGTTTTCATATTAAACAAAAGACCAAATGAGGAGAAGGTTTTAGACAGCTAATGCATGAGGAAAGGCTACTGTGCACGTTTTTGAGATTGCTGTTTTTCGCTCATTGATAGCTCAATGTTATTATATAATAATGTTGAAAAAAAACTTATTCGTCGTTTATATAAATAAGCACACGAGTATATATCTCACAAAGTCACAACTTATCATTCCTTCTCTTGCGAAGGCGCTTTCATATCGTTACATCAACAATGCCTCTCGCAATCCAAGCTCTCTTCGTCGCTCTTCTCTTCTCTTCCATTGCTTCAGCAGCTATCGTCGAACATGTTTTCCACGTATGTATTGTTATGCGCCACTCTCTCCTTATTTTTGTTTTTTTTTTCTAAAAAGCAATGAAATTCAACAAAAGAAAAAAATTTACCAGTTATTTTACTGCTCACATGATATCATATTTCATTTTATTGTATATACTAGCTACAGTGCCGTGCCTATATTTTTGGGGCTTAAAACCTATTAAAGCCTTTTATTTAGATTTATTATTTGAGCAGTAAAATAACTGGTAAATTTTTCTAAAAAGCAATAAAATAGTTTCACTATTTTGATGTAATACATATGATCATGAATTTCATGATTTGTAGAAAAAAAAACAGTTTAGTATATCAAAAGTAAAATAATACATAATTTATAATTTATCAAATGAGTGAATAAAATTATGTAACAAACTAATCGTAAGAAATATTAACGGAAACTAATAGAAGTATTTCAAATCTGAAATCATATAGAAAACTAGGACATGAAACAGATTAAGCTGACTAAATATATAGAAAACTATTACCAAAAATATGGCATTTATGTCATATACGACAATATTTATACAATACTAAAAGCTGGGGTCAGTTAGATTAGCTGGGGACAGTTAGATTAATTTGGCAAACGAAATTTTCTTCTTCCATTAATTTGGTATTTATGTTTATAATTAAATTGATTTGAAATGTTTGGACTGTGTCTGTGAGTTTAACATTTTTACGGCATCCGCACGTTGTTAATCTACACGGGCAACTCTTTAATATATGACGGGACAATATTAACGGCGTCGGCCAACAACAGATCAAAAACGTCTTGGTGAAGCCGTTGTGCAAGGAGCAAATGATACCGGCCGTTAACGGAAGTCTTCCCGGTCCAACGATAAACGTTAGAGAAGGCGACACTCTTGTGGTTAATGTCATCAACAACTCAACCTACAATATAACTATCCACTGGTAAGTAATAAACCTATTGATTTCGATGTTATAATTTTATCAAATAATTATTTAACTTTTGTTGTGTGTGTTCAATAAAAAATGATATGTTTATAGGCACGGAGTGTTTCAGTTGAAGAGCTCATGGATGGACGGTGTGAATATGATAACTCAATGTCCGATTCAACCAAGTAATAACTTCACGTATCGATTCGATATCACCGGACAAGAAGGTACATTATTATGGCACGCACATGTTTTAAATCTGCGAGCGACTCTTCACGGGGCTCTCATCATCCGTCCCCGATCTAGGCGTCCTTACCCTTTTCCTAAACCCTACAAGGAAGTTCCTCTCATTTTTGGTAAGCAATTTTTTTGCCAAAAGTGATATATATTGGGATAAATTTATTATTTGCATAAAAGAAGTTTTTTTTTTTTTTATCGAAATGTAATATGACTAAAACATAAATCCCTTTTTTTTAAGAACATAAATAATACTGACACTTATTCATGACTAGGATGGTTCGAGTTTAGTTAAGAACATAAATCCCTTTTTTTTTGCGGCAACCTAATTAGTTAGTAACTAACTAATTACGTTAGGAGGATGAAACATTCGCTATAACATATATATTATAAAATTACTAATGTTGTTAATTAATTTGTTCGAATTGATTATTCAAGGACAATGGTGGAACATGGATGTTGGACTTCTCAACATACGGCCAGCTCCGCTCTCCGATGCTTACCTCATCAATGGCCTTGCTGGAGATTCATATTCTTGCTCTAAGAAAAGTAATACTCAATCTTTACTCAAATTCAAAAGCTAATGTTGAGCTTTTTTATTTATTTTTAAATGATTTTCTGTAGGGATGTTTAAGCTCAAGGTAGTACAAGGGAAAACATATTTGCTAAGGATTATAAACGCAGCGCTCAACAGTCACCTTTTCTTCAAAATAGCCAATCACAACGTGACAGTTGTGGCTTTAGACGCTGTCTACACAACGCCTTACGTTAGCGATGTCATGATCTTAACACCTGGACAAACCGTGGACGCACTTTTGACCGCGGACCAGCCCTCGGGATTGTACTATATGGCCATCAGCCCTTACACTAGTGCACATGGACAACCGTTCCCGGCCCAAGTCACCCGAGGCCTAATCATCTACGAGGATACTGTCAAATCATCATCCTCAGTGATGCCATTGATGCCTGAGCTGAATGACATATCCACTGCTCATAGGTTCTCCTCGAACATCACCGCCCTGGTGGGTGGACCCCATTGGACGCCAGTGCCTCGCCATGTGGACGAGAAAATGTTCATAACGGTTGGGTTTGGCTTAGAGCCATGTCCTTTGGGTACTAAGTGTCCTGGATACTTAGGTCAACTCTACGCTGGCTCTCTCAACAACCGTTCATTTATGTATCCGGAATCAACTTCTCTGCAAGAGGCTTATTTCTACAACATCACTGGAATCTACACCGACGATTTCCCCGACCAGCCACCGCTTAAATTTGACTATACAGATTTCGTAATGCGTACGGAATCTGACTACAAGATGATGTTTCCGGAGAAAAGGACTAGCGTCAAGACACTTAAGTTCAATTCTACAGTAGAGATCGTTGTGCAGAACACAGGGATAGTCACCACGGAGAGCCACCCAATGCACCTTCACGGCTTCAATTTTTATGTGTTGGGTTATGGATTCGGCAACTACGATCCAATCCGCCATGCAAGAATGCTAAATCTACTTAACCCGCAAATGCACAATACCGTCGGTGTACCACCAGGTGGATGGGTTGTCCTCAGATTTATCGCCAATAATCCTGGTTAGAAACATTTTGCCAAAAAAAATAACGTATAATATAAATATATGTCGATGGGTTAACATGAAATTTTTATGTTATATAAATGCAGGTGCATGGATGTTCCATTGTCACATGGATGCACATTTACAGTACGGAATTGGTATGGCTTTCATAGTTCAAAACGGGGAAACGAGCTTGCTATCTCCGCCGTCGAATCTTCCACAATGCACTCGGGATCCAACGATTTATGACTCTCCCACGGCTAAAGTTGATTTTTCTTACTAGCTACAAGTAGCTAGGTTAAAAAATTTACTATTAACTACGTACTAATAACCGTACTAATTGTTTCTGCTTTTTTTTTGTTGAAATCGTTTTTTTCTCAGGTTTCGGGATTTTTTCTTTTTGTCTTATTATATATTACTGTCACCAATGCTAGAACTTGGGTAATTTTCAGAGCCTGAACTAATTTCTCCTTTTATCTATATACATATGTTGACTGAGCTAAATTGATTTAGTCTCGTCACGGTTTGATCTCATTTTAAAACCGATAAATTTTAATTACAATACGTTTTGGCTTCTTATTTTTTTTCAAATCATTTTTTTTTATATAACTTTAGTTATAAGATTAAGCTGAACCAAGTTGAACCACCGTAAGAATTTGATGGTCATAGTACATATATGGATCAAATGTTGATATAGTTTCATTTTGGCCCGAGTTGTGTTAAGCGAGACGGATCAACCCCTACCGTTCGATTCGATGTCTGAGATCATTAGTAGTTGGTTCGTTTTACGACGAGGTATTGCCGGACGCCCCTACGGTTAAAGCCCCATTGGCCATTGCTATATGAAATAGCCTTTGATTTCATGTTTTAGTTCGTTTCCTTTTCTTGTTTTTGTAATATATATAGTGTAATTTTAGATCAATCATAATTTAAAAGACAAGTCGTCCACACACACACACACAGAAAAGTCAAAACGATATTGATCAGTCCAACACCAAGAAATAGACTATGGTGAATCATGCGAGGTCATTTAATTTGTTTATAAAAATAATATATTTGAGAAAACATATATATTTTGTTTTTATAAGGGCATGGGTCAAACATATATATATTTGAAAAAAAACATAAGAACTTCAGTACAAACAGACTGTGAATGAAGATTCTAATTTAAAAAAAAAAAAAGAATTTAAGATGTAAAAATTTGTTTACCATCAACCGAACCAGGGCTGGTTTCCTTAATTACTAGGAAAAATTTGCAAACTCACTATTAAAACGCGATCTCATGTATTTATTTCATACAGAGGTCACCTAATAGCAGGTGAAGCAAAAGCAATAAAACAATAATGATGTAACTATAATCGCATAAGCTTTCCTTCGATTTTCTCACAAGAAAATCTCCTTTTTTTTTTAATTATTAATATGAAACCGATGAAAAGAGCAGGTATTAGGTAATATATTCGTACATTTCTCTTTTTTATCCGGCCGGTAGTAGGCGTAATGACACAGATATTGCCATTTTAATATATTTGGTTGCTTTCAATACTCAGGGCTGCCTCTGCTTGATGGCTGCCGAAATAATATTGAAGATGGAGATTTGATTATTGATTTTATTTAAATTGAATATTATTTCGGATTATTCATTTTTAAATTTGTTTTAACGATTTCAAATCGTAGTTTTGGGTAAGTGGCGGATGTTCCCCGTCCTGATAAGTAATTAGTGCATGTAAAATATATGTTAATGCATTTAGTCTAAATATTTGTTATATAAAAAAAAATCATGTACCTCATGCTAAATTAATGGAAGAGGAAAGTGTGCAAAATGCAATCACGTCTGATACTGTTTTTATTTGCCACTGACTAATAATTTATTAATTGTACATAAAACTAAAATGCCATAGGGGCAATTGTTTTTGTTTTTTCTCGTGAAATAAGCCGCCGTCAAAGACTCTTCCATCAGATCTCGCCGCCGTCTGGAATTGTTTTCATGTAATAAGCCGCCGCGAGAATGTTTTTTTACTTGCCACCCTTATAAGTGAAAGGTACAAAACAAACTCTTATGATAAAAATATGTAACTTTCTAAAACACTTATTGGATTATTAGTATTGGTTACAATGTGACGACGTAAAAAGAGATGTGATCCTCTCAGATAGTTCTAAGTGAAAAGATATATATAGAAAATTATGAAAAAAAGACGCAGCTTCAAAATAAAAATTAACTTTATCATAAATGATTATAAGAAAAATATGAGATGCAACCCACTGAAGTATTTCCAAGGATTATAATTATTATTAATCAATTATTAAAACCATATGCGAGCTAGTTTCTACACATAAAAAAAATTACCTTATTAAATTATCTTAATTTTTGCATTAGTCCAATTTGAAATAGAAAAACACTATTCTCTCCATTTCCGAATAATTGATGTTAAAGTGATTAACCACAGATTATAAGAAATAGTTTTAATCTTTAAAAAATAAATCTATTTATTATCAATCTAAACATAAATCAACCAATGGTATATAGAATAAACTTCAGAATACAAAGGGTGATGATGAACATTGATTTTAAAATAATTGATGTTAAGGTTCTTACTTCTTACACATAGATTATAAAACCATTTATTTTTTATTTAAAAAACTTTATTTATCTATTTGTCTATCTAAACATAATTCAACTAATGATCAAATAAAATGGTCATGATGAACATTGATTTTCTTTTATTTTAATTACTTGTCGTGGCTAGGCATTGCCATTTCCACAGAGATTATCATATAATAATCTCGTAACCACAAAAACGTTGTCAAAACTTGTTCACATGCATTCCTCTCCTTTATAAATAACCCATACTACGGTCTCTCACAACAAAATCACCTAATTACAAAATTTAGTTTAACACAATTTGATTAACGACGGCATTTTGATATCCTTACATCAACAATGCCTCGTCTTCGTCATTATCTAGCAGCCCAAGCTTTCTTTGTCTTTCTTCTCTTTTCCTCCATTGCTTCCGCAGCAATCGTCGAACATGTTTTCCACGTATTTACTATTCGACCACTCTCTTTATTTATTAATTTTTCAAAAATAAAAATAAAAAGAAGATGCTACAAAATTTCAAGATGTAGCGATTAGTTTTTCTTTTTCTTTGCATACTTGAACTTAGGATAAAGATTTGATCGACATTTCAATAAATTGTCAATCATCCTATTGTGCATATTGTATCATTAGTGTTCTCTTTTGATTTGCTTTAGTGTTCTTTTGTTCAGGAAAACTAAATTCTCGAATGAAAAATAAACTGGAAATTATAAATACACAACTGATCTTTCTTCCGTTTCCGTTTGTCGTTTACATGAAACATTTTACTAAAGATGTTTAGGTTTTTGGATTCATTTTTATTAAATATACATGTATACTCTAACGTAAACATTAACACAAAGAATTTAGACATGTTGTTTTAACTATGCTACTAATGGAAATTTAATATATGGCGGGGCAATATTAACGGCGTCAAAAAAACAGGTCAAAAACGTCTTGGTGAAGCCTTTGTGCAAGGATCAAATGATACCAGCCGTTAACGGAAGTCTTCCCGGTCCAACGATAAACGTTAGAGAAGGCGACACTCTTGTGGTTAATGTCATCAACAACTCAACTTACAATATAACCATCCACTGGTAATTAAACTTATTGATCTCATGATGTATGTAGTTCATCACATAATGGATTTTTGTTGTTGTTGTGTTCAATAATTTTCTTGCTGATGTCATACATAAATAGGCATGGAGTGTTTCAACGGAAGAGCTCATGGATGGATGGCGCGGATATGATAACTCAGTGTGCGATTCAACCAAGCAACAACTTCACGTATCGATTCGAAATCACGGGACAAGAAGGTACATTGTTATGGCACGCACACACCACTAATCTACGTGCCACTCTTCACGGCGCGCTAATCATCCGTCCTCGATCTGGTGGTCCTTACCCTTTTCTTAAACCATACAAAGAAGTTCTTCTCATATTTGGTAAGCATTGGGTTGTAATTAATTAAACCCAATTATCAAGACGCAAAACCGGCTATCATATATGGGTTATTAGGTCAACAAGTTTTATGTTTCTAGTTTATACGTTTCTTTGTTTGGAACAGCTGCTTCTACGAATAAATAAATAATAAAAGATAATATTTGGTTGTGAAAAAAATCTAAATATTTTTAAAGGTTGCTTCGGGTTGATAAGAATCCAAATTAGGTTGTTTTTGAGCTTCTTCGATCCAGAGAGTAATTAAAAATGTTTGCGTTTGGACGGTTAAACATATTCGTTATGCATATTATGATAGTACGTATATAATGACTGAAAAGGAAAATGATACGATTATGCAAGAACAATGGTGGGACATGGACGTTGGACTTATCGCAACACGGCCAGCTCCGGTTTCGGATGCTTACCTCATCAATGGCCTCGCTGGAGATTCATATCCTTGCTCCAAGAACAGTAATACTCACTCATTCTTTGCTTAATTTTGATGTTCTTTTCTGAAACAAACATCTCGATCTATCTTACCAAAAAATAATTAATAATAATGATTTTTTTTTTTTTTTTTTTTGGGGGTGGGGTTTCGATCGGTAGGGATGTTTAATCTCAAGGTAATACAAGGAAAAACATATTTGCTAAGGATTATAAACGCAGCGCTCAACAAGCACCTCTTCTTCAAAATAGCTAACCACAACGTGACGGTCGTGGCTGTAGATGCTGTCTACACGACGCCTTACGTGAGCGATGTGATGATGTTGACGCCGGGACAAACCATCGACGCACTTCTCACGGCCGACCAGCCAATCGGATCTTACTTCATGTCCATCAGCCCTTACAACAGTGCCAACCAGGGATCGTCGGTTCCCCCTAACACCACCACCAGAGGCTTGGTCATCTACGCGGGCGCCACGTCAGCATCCCCGGTGGTTACACCGTCGATGCCTGGGATGGACGACGAATCCACCGCTCATAGGTTCTCCTCGAACATCACCGGCCTCGTGGGTGGACCCCACTGGACCCCGGTACCTCGACACGTGGACGAAAAGATGTTCATGACCATCGGGCTTGGTTTAGAGCTGTGTCTTCATCCGGACAACACAAAGCACTGCCTTGTCGGAGGAGAGCAGCAGCTCAGTGGCTCTCTCAACAACTATTCTTTTGTGCTTCCAAAAACGATTTCGTTGCAAGAGGCTCATTTCTACAACGTCACTGGAGTCTACACTAGTGATTTTCCCAACGAACCGCCGCTCAAATTCGATTATGCGAATTTCAGAGCCCATAACGATTCTGAAGGCAAGATGATGTATCCAGAGAGAAAGACTAGCGTCAAGACACTTAGATTTAATTCTACAGTCGAGATCGTTTTGCAGAACACAAAAATAGTAACCTCCGAGAGCCACCCCATGCACCTTCACGGCTTTAATTTCTACGTCTTGGGTTATGGATTCGGTAACTATGATCCAATCCGAGATGAAAGAAAGCTAAATCTAGTTAACCCACAAATGCACAACACTGTTGGTGTACCTTCTGGTGGATGGGTTGTCCTCAGATTTATTGCTGATAATCCTGGTTAGATACTTACTTTATGATATTAATTTTCGCATTAAAAACCTATCTCATCTATTTTTTTCTCACCAACTACATATAAATTGAAAATGTGGTAGGTACATGGATGTTCCATTGTCACATGGACGTACATTTACCGTTCGGAATGATAATGGCTTTCATAGTTCAGAATGGGCCAACTCCGGAAACGAGCTTACCTCCTCCGCCGTCGAATCTTCCACAATGCACTCGGGACCCCACCCTCTCTGAATCTCCCAAGACTAGCGTTGATCTGTCTTACTAGATCGATGCTCCCCTTTTTTGTTCTTAATTACACGGAAACATTTTGTCTTTCTTTCTTTGAATCTTCTTCTATCAACTATCAAACGTACTTTATGCCTTCCGCATTTCTTTAAGCAATTTAGTGCTGGATTGGTTTCCTCATAAATCCATGTAAACCTTTTTTTTTATTGATTTATATGAATATTGATTGATTGGATTTGATTCAATCATACTCTTCCGACCCAGATCATTAGAAAATAATATAGTTAGTTCTTTTTCGATAGTGTTTTTACTTTCCCTCTTCTTTTCGATAATATTTTTACTAAGATTTTTTGACAATTCAATATTTCGTTGACACAACATAAGAAGAGTAGACGTTAGGGATTTATAAGAAAGAAAAACGATCATTAGATATCACTCTGTTTTGTGTCCTGGGCTTATGGGTTTTAGACCCTACCAACAGGAGATAGCGGCGGAGCAAACGGAGAGGGAGATTTGACGGTGGTCTTTGACACCGAATCCTCTTGGGAGCCACAGGTTATAACCGTCACGCACACAAAAAACGCTTGTAGATGCGACAGACACGAACCAAACTCCACCCTATAGATATCTGACTTCAGCTCCGTCATCGCCAATGCTGGACCCGAATCTCGTTCACTTCCTTCCTGCGATGCAAAACGACTTACCTAAAATTCGATTCTTCTCTCTAACAAATTCTCAAAAAGACTATGTTTATGTTACCTCATCGAAAAGTTTGAAGCTTTGGTTGAATTCATGGAGGAGTGTTTTGTTGGAGAGGACATGGAGTTTACATCCGACATCCCAGCCACCGCAGTCGCATAACCCTCCGGTTCTCCACCGGCTAATCAATGGTGACGGTGCTCCTTTCTCCGGGAAACTGTGGACGCCGCTCGGAATTATCACACTGATTTCTTCGAGGCCGGTATAGTTTTCTTCGACCGGCTTCTTCTTGATCACTATAGCTGCAACCTCTTCCCTCCCTTTAACTTGCTCTGATTCATCAAACAGAACTGATTCTCTGATCGCAGGTGAGATGTTTCCGGATTTCTGCTCGGTCAAATCTGAGCTCACGGAGTTGCTCAACCGCATTTGACCGATTACATTGTAGACAAACCCGCGTTGTTTCTCCTTATGCCCATGGATTAGCCAGCTTCCGCTTCTTTTCTTTTTGACTTCATTAACAGAGTAGAATGTGCAGCACTGAACAGAATCATCTTTGAACGATGAAGGCGAACTTTTCATTGTAGCCCCGAGAATGCTCCTTCTGCTACTCTTCTTGTTGTTATTGTTGTTGTTATCATCGACCACAAATTGAAATAGAGGGATCCCGTTTCTGATCGTTAGCTGAAAAAGCGCTCGGGTTCTCGACGTATCCTGCTTCTTCTCGTCTTGAAGAGGAACTTCGATGTTGGTTGGCTTTGGATTGGAACAACTTGATCTTGCTTTTGATGGAAGAATATTTTCAGAGCCTTTGGGTTTCAGTAAAGGGTCGAGAAGCCTTTTTAGAGGGCTAACTCGAGAGTAAATGTTCTGCCTCTCCGGGTTACTTGAATGAGACGGACAAACTGAACCATCGAATCTCATAGAATCAGATTTGATGGTATCATCAAAAGAATTCAAAGGTTGGGCAGATGAATCCTCTTTAAAAGTGAAACTTCTGCTGAGACGACCAAAGCTAAAACTAAACCGCTTGCTTGGTGAAGGGTGTCTGTTGTTTCTGAGTTCATCTTCAGGGATTTCGAGATCAAATATTCTCGAACCTGTCTTTGATTGCCTTCTTGTCCCACCAAAACGTTCCTTTTCACCAGAAATATCAACACCAAGAGGCAACATCATATCTTCAGAATCTCTTTCTAGGTCGAAAGAGAGTGGACAGGAACGAGGAATTTGAGATCTCAATCTTAACGAGCTATTGGCTCTGTCGGAAAAGTCGAGAGAGCGGTTAACCTCCCTTGCTACTTTCATGTTATCATCAAGTGGCATCTCGGGTTCACCAGGAAGAGTGCTTCGGGACTGTTTTCTTGACCGCAGGAGAACAATATTGCTGACCTGCTGATTCTCCTGCTTTTCAGAAGTAAGACCAGCTTTCGAAACTCCAATGATCTTCTCCTCTACATTTAACTTCTCAACACATTGTTTCGCTCTTTCCGTAGCTCTTTCTCTTGCTTCTTGTGCATGTATCTTCCCCGCTCTCTTCTCAGCCTCCTTATCCCGCAAAACTGAGTTTCCCTTCGGAGCTAGTGATCCACCAGAGTTCCCCATTTCTGACAATAAACCTGAAGTGGATTCCCGATATAAAGGCGGACTTCTGCTCTTCCCAGGATTCACTCTTTCACGATCTCTACCACAGGACGTATAGCTACAAGTTGCTATTTGCTGCTTATTTAATAAATCCCTAGACGCGAACTCAGGTTCCAAAGTGCATCGAACTCCATGAACAGAATGTTGAAGGTCCCGAGACGCTTTACCTTTACCGAGCTTTGAACAAGTGTGCAACTGATCATCAATCTTACACCTATGAGAGTCATTGGGAACTAGTCCTGAAGTAGAAGTTGTAGCAATAGAAGACACCCTTCTCTCACTCTTTCCTGATCTTTCACCGCCTCTTTCTCGACCATGCTTCCATTTCTCTAGGCGACCCCAATCCAAGACTCCAACATTCAGAACATTACTTTGGACGCTTTGTTCTCCTCTCTCCTCCGTACGTTGGAGATAGCCTGGCAACTTGGACATGTATTTCACAAGCTCGTCATTGTGTTCCAGACTCTCATTGACACATTCCTTTCGGTTATGGCTTGAACGTTTCGTTCTGACCCGAATATTATTGTCTTTGCCACCTGTTTGACTCTCCTTTTTCGTTCCTCGACCAGTGGAATTCAGATTTGACGGTAATCTTGCATCTGCTATCTCTGAGGTTCTTTGGCTCTGTTTCAGAGCACCTCTGAGCTCGGCTCTTGGGGCCATTTCATCTACAAATTCATCTGCTTTGATCAATATAAAAGGAACTTTCACTATGATTAGCTGATTACTGATTCTCTCAACACTCTGGAACTAATTCAAAGAGACTCGAATATTATTGACCACGATTTATACGAGACTAATTCAGTTTTCAACTCCTGATGAAGAATCAAACATTCTGTTTCACAGTCGAGAAAGTAATGGAGGAAGTAGCATTCAATTTCAATCTCGAGAAACCCTAGATTAGTAATTTAATCTGCTCTAATTTCTACCTCCATATTCTTTCATTCACCTAAGAAAATCATTCTCTTACGAAAAATTATGTTACTCACATATTTTCCCGGGAAAGAAACAGAAAGAAGAGAGAAAGGAACATACCAGCACAAGAATATATAAACCCACGAATATTTCACGATTTCATTGATCAAAACCCGATTTGGTGCTGAATATCTTCGGGAAGAAAAACAAAAACAAAAGATCAGAAAAGCAAAAGGGAACAACGTGAAGTGGAAGCAAAATCGACACACACTCAGCGATGGAATCAAAATCACGAAGCCCAATCTTCCATTAACGAAAATCGAGAAAGTTTGTGATCAGGGAAACAAGGAACGGTGAGAGAGAGAGGAAGGAATCGAAAGTTGCAGAGAATCTCGCCGCTAGAGTAAGACGAAGGAAGAAATAGAGAAGATAGTTTACGTGTGGGATCGTACGGTCAAGATTAATGGTGTCGAGGAGGTAAAGCAATCGTGTGGTTCGTAATTATTTTGGTAGGGCCCATTAGGAGACTTCCGTTTTGTTTCTCCTTCGTATCGCATCCCAAAGCAGAATTAAGAACATAAAGGGACCCACTCGTAGTCTATTCTTACGCTGACGTCAGACGCATAAGTTTCTTATCTTTTTCTTTTTTTTTTTTGTTTCACCCGATTTTTTCAATCTTTATTATTTGTCCGTTACGGCTTTATAAGAACATCCCAATGCAGAGATTCATTTTGATTTCTTATTTATTTTTTTAATATTTAAAGTATGGAAGAAATTTATTAAAGAGATTCATTAATTTTGCATGGTCCAATGGAAAAAATTGTATAGAGTTTCTTCCAAAAAAAATTTGTCTTCTTTAATTTTGTCCTAATTTCGCCTAATCAATTGAGATGTTACACATGGTAAGGAGAAGAAGGAAAAAACGTTTCTTCCTGTTCTCAAATAAGAGACGTTTTCAAGCTTGAATCTCCTCTTTTAATTATTTTTAATATAAACAATTGAAAGAAACGGTATCAAATATGACGTTGCGGATGCTCTAAGGTTTCAATCATTTTCGCAAATAATATGTGTATATAAGTTATTCATATTCTGGTCGACATTGAGAAAGTTCTTCAAATTTTTTTATTAAGAATTCTAATTTTGCGATCACGCATACGATTTTTGAAGTACAAAAAAGGTCTTATTAATATCAAAGCTACTATGTTAATATTTTACCTAATTACGAGGTTTATATATTGATCTAGTTTTTTTTTAATCAAAATGACATTATTATAAGTAAACTTTCTGTTGTATTTTGCACATGTATCCCACCACAATTTAACAGGCCTAAGTTGATGGATAACATTTTAACATCACCACATCATATCCAACATTATTTTAACAAATAATGTTGCCTGCACGAGGAAGCTATAATTTTTGACTAAAGAGCAGTGATCCAATCAGGTATGTATTTCAATAAAGCAAAAAGGACTCTACTTTACCCATTTTTTTTTCCTTTTCTCCTAATTTCATGATAGCATCCCATATAAACAAAGTATTATGTAACCTTCGACTAACAACACATGATTTATACAAACATATAATTCCAAAGTGGTAGAGCTTAAACACGTTTTATTTAAAACATTAGCTTATTATCTTCCCTATATACAAACTGCTAATATTATCGGCTAAAATAGAATATGGGTTACACAACGAAATTTTTTTATTAAGTTTTAGGTGAATATTTGCACGTAATGTGCGGGTTTTTTTTTTCAACTATTTCAAAGTTATATATTTTTGTATTTTCTTATAAAAACAAAAATCATTATTTGTTATGTGTTAGTATATTAATATAAATCAATCAACTTAAACTAAAATCTTATTAAAAAATCAAGAGTTTATACAAAAAACTATCAATATTTTAATTAATTATAACATATATTCTTGTTATTATTTACATAAATGTTATTTAATAAGAAATTAATACATTTTTTGAAGTGGTTTAAAATTTAATATTAAAATTTATTAATTATTTTGTTTTTTTAAATATAACTTTAAATGCGTTTTTTAAACTATTTAAAATTTATATATTTTTATTTTCCTAAAAAAATATGATCATCATTTATTATGTGTTAATATATTATTATAAATCAATTAATTTAAAATATAATATCATTAAAAATGAAGAGTTTATTCAAAAAAACAACAATTTATTTAATTATAACATAAATTCTCATGTAATATTTATATAAATGTTATTTAAGAATTAATTAATAGAAAAAACCTTTCATTTTTTTAGTGACTTAACACTTAATATTAAAATTTCTTAATTAATTTTTTTTAAAAATTGTAATTTTAAATTAAAAAATATGATACATGTCATTTTCATATCAACTCTTAAATGCTAATGTGGCATTCATATAGAGAGAGTTGAGCAATTTTTATATATAAGATTTAAAAAATCAAGAGTTTATACAAAAAAACTATCAATATTTTAATTAATTATAACATATATTCTTGTTATTATTTACATAAATATTATTTAATAAGAAATTAATACATTTTTTGAAGTGGTTTAAAATTTAATATTAAATTTATCAATTATTTATTTTTTAAATATAATTTTAAATGCGTTTTTGAAACTATTTCAAATTTATATATTTTTATTTTCCTAAAAAAATATGATCATCATTTATTATGTGTTAATATATTATTATAAATCAATTAATTTAAAATATAATATCATTAAAAATGAAGAGTTTATTCAAAAATCAACAATTTTATTTAATTATAACATAAATTTTAATTTAATATTTATATAAATGTTATTTAATATTAAATTTTCTTTATTAATTTTCTTTAAAAATTATATTTTTAAATTAAAAAAATATGACACATATTATTTTCATATCAACTCTTAAATGCTGATGTGACATTCATATAGAGAGAGTTGAGCAACTTTTATATATAAAATATACAATCAATATATTCATAGAGGGGTTTGAATATACGTTATGATCATTTTATAGATCGAAAACCTAAAATTTTCTAAACCCCAAAAATAAATCAATATTTTATCTTATGCAAATTAATTTTTACTATAGGCAAATTTTAGTATTAAATTGATTAATTTCTATTGTAATTTTTTCCGATTAACTAACAAGATGCTGAGGTTTCATCTAACTAATCAAATAAAATCATAGCATAAGAACACTCATTAAAGGTGCATGATCAAGAAATGATACATACTTGGATTAATTGGATTCTATCTTCGAAATTTAAAAGAAAAGGCGACCGATATACTTTTAGTTATTCCCTTTGTAAAATCAAACGATAATCATTTTATAGATCTTTTGTTGGTCAATAATCAATTTATTTATAGGTCACGTACATAACATAGTGTCTTAAACGATAATTAAAGCTAAGATCACTCATCATCTTTAAGGGACAAGGTCATTTTTCTTGCACAAAGAAAAAAAAATATTCAGATATGGAAAAAAAATATATATATATTCAGATATGGTGATGACGTCAGCTCGGAACAATTATGAATTATGGATTACCTTGCATGACTCGTGCTAGTGACTACGTAGTAATTACGATTAAATTGTGGAAGGCAATCAATCTTTCAAAAAAATATTGTGGAATACCGAAGAAATGGGTCGCTTGACCCGATTTTTTCAAATCGGCTGGGATCGTGTTGCCCATAATGATTATTATCAGGCCCATGAATGATGGCCCAAAGACATTAAGCTGTCAAACGCAAGGAAGGATAAAAAACCTTTGTTTAACCGCAAATGATTGAACCAAGTCTAACAAACCGAAGAATAACTAAAGGAAAAAATCAACATGTATAGCAAAAAACAGAGCAACAAAAGAAAAAAATAAAAACTATCTGGTTTGCTTCAGTCCAGTAATTAAAGCGCTATGCGCGGAGGTTAACTTTTATAGTTCTTTTTTTTTTGTCCAACAACTTTTATAGTTCTTATCTGAAAGTTTTTTGATATTTTCTTATTTACGTTGATGGTGCAATCTTCAAAATCAATCATCTTTGTAAGTGTAATAATGGACATAAAATAAAACAAATATAAAGATAACTTAGTTTGTAGCTCAAGGAAATGAGGTTTTTAAGAAACTTTTGATTATATTGGGTAGTGTAAGTGCTAAGTCATTCTCGTTAAAAAATAATGATATAGCGTAAGGAGAAATTAAAATTTGATGAAATGTTTGTAAGGATAGAATGAGTAGGTAGAATCCTATACATATGACTTTGGGCTTTGTTTGAACTCCATTAATAATATATTAATATAACATTTAAACTCAAGCTTTTGATGTGATAATAGACACACAAAATCATGGTAATCGTTTTTCTATTCGTTTATTTACGTTTGTCATCGTGTTGCGTTTATTATACAATAGGTGGAACAATTTTGACCTTATTTTTAGGGTTGCTTTGCAAGGGAAAAACGACGTACAATACGACAATTGATAGAGAACAAAGAGACAAACCACTAAAATTGTTTGAAATGCTCGACACAACTACATATTTAATACATTTCTGGAAGTTACAAAATATATTCCAGTAATCCAGTTCATATTTCATAGGCTTGTGGACATCTCTTATATATCTGAAAATAATTTATCTAACTGAAACGAAAATATATATAAACAAACAAGAAAATAGTATTTGCCAAAACTAAAAAGTAATGCAAGTCGGAACATATTTACAAAAGTAAATGTTTATAATTTTTAATATTTAATTTATCAGATAAACAAGGGAAATTATGAAGTTACAATCTCCTATTTAAAATCATATAAAAACATGGTTGTGAGTTGTGACCACCCGATCGTAACATATACGCAAAGACAAGAAAACCGTTGAAGATTTTGGCAAGGTTTGAGCCAAAGACAAAGCATCACTTTCTCCTTTTATTAGGAGTGGACCAAGTTGTGTTCACTGTGGTGGCTATAAGGCTGGGTATACCATTCATTTATCAAGTTTGATAGTGTAAATAAAAACATACAAATAAAATTATACTGAGATTGGGTTATATCACTCATATTGATTTTTTTTGTCTTTTCACGTATTGAATGTGTTTTCTTTCAGATATTAATAATACCTTCAAGGCTTGGAGATTGTTTGGGAGTGAATGCTTCACAAAATAAACATTTTGAAATTTAGTAATTATTTAGAAATTCAAACTATTTTAAATCTGATTAAGTTGTGCTTAAAAATAAAATAAAAAGAATTTTGATATTTTAAAGTATTTTTCTTAAAATAAATTAAGGAATTTTCTACTGAGTTTGGTGCAATTGAACAAATCGGGTCCAATTGATCTAACTAAAATAGTGACAACTACTATCTTTGTGAAAGTTGTAAAAAGGACATTAAACGTGGTTAGTAGGAATCGTAATAC